GGGTGCCGCGGGAGGGGGGGGTCGGGGTTGCTACTGATACCCGTGGGTGCCGGATAACTGGGAGTTTACTGTACTAGGTATTCTCTGATTGGATGAGTGCCGGAACATGACATCACCACCCCAGTCAAACCCCCATATGTTTGATTGGTTATTTTTTCTAATCTATGCCAGTAATATTGCAGATAAAATCTGACTGGTTTAGCTGGACCAAACTTCCTCTTTTCTCTGCAGTGGATTTTCTGTATGATCCTCATTCAACTGAACCATCCATACTGGAAAAAAATAAGAGAATAAAAGATCATGCAGCCTTGACAGTGAAAAATGTAGATTTATAGCAGAAGTCTTGATGCTTCAGCTTTGCTCTCATGGTTTATTTCCCTGTCTCCCACACCTCTCCCTGCGATGATCACCTTTTTAAATCTCTTATACAGCTCATCTTAAATTAACCATAAATAGTGCTCTGTCTGCACTACGAGCTCCATCTAAATACGGCGTGCATCTACTCTTTAATTATGTTTATATAGGTAAAGTAATTTCTCATTGGATTAATGCCATTAAGAGGCAATATTTCCTGGTAAAACCACACACACACAAAGCAGCTTCAGTGCGTTTAACAATTAACTTTTGAATAAATTAGCGCTTTCCCCCAGAAAGAAATCTGTTCAGTGGCCATTTACCAAGTACTTACTGCATATATTGCATACATCATTGATAGCATTAAGGGTTTGTTCTGATTACTTTTTATACAACAGCAAGTTTGTGATTTCTTGTAAGCTTGATTTTATACACATTTACACTTCCTTAAGTAAAAGCAATTTTGCCAACAATTTTTATAGTGACAAGATTTTTTTTTTTAATGCAAACTGTAAATCCTCTACATCAGCAATTTTCAAACTTTTTTATAAATAAGGTGACACATGCTTGTAACAGATGACACCCGGACCTCGCCATTTTCAAACAGATGACACCTGGGCCTCACCAATCTATAACACATGACACCGAGACTGCGCCAGTCTCTAACTGATGACACCTAGGCCTCACTAATTTCTAACATATGATACCCAGATCTCACCAGTCTATAATAGATGACAACCGGGCCTCACCAATCTCTAACAGATGACACCTAGTCCGCATTAATATCTAACAGATGATACTTAGGCCTCACCTCACACACAGGCTCTGCCAATCTCTAACAGATGACACCTGGGACTCACTAATCTCTAACAGATGATGCCCAGACCTCACCAATCTCTTAACAGATGACACCCTGGTCTCCCAATCTCTAAGAGATGATAGGCTGGCCCCACCAATCTTCAACAGATAATACCCAGGCCTCCCCAATTCTTATTAGATTACACCCGGGCCTCCTCAATCTCTAAAAGATGGCACCCAGTCTTCACCAAGCTCTAAAGCTGGCCATACACCTTACAATTATCTGCAGATTTTCTATGGTCAGATGGAAAAGGTGCAACAGATTCCTCCATCTACGCTAAACTGTGTGGATGGAGTAATCTCCACCTGGGCCAATCTGTTGCACGTTTTCCATCTGACTACAGAAAATCTGCAGATAATTGTAAGGTGTATGGGCACCTTAAGAGATGATAGCCAGCCCCTAATAAATCTTCAACAATACCCTGGCCTTGTCAGTCTTTTAATGTATGGAACCCGGGCTCATCAGTCTCTAACAAATGAAACCTGGGCCTCATGACTCTCTAAAGGTGCCCATACACCTTAGGATTATCGGACGATTTTCGTATGCAATCGACTTTTTGTCCGATTATCGTATGTGTGCATTGCAGTGTCCGACCGACATTACTGTACAATCGTACGACTTTTGACGGTCAAGCATGTTTGAAAACTTTGCTAGATCGTACGATTTCCGTAAGGTTGCTGGCGTTTCCGTCCGTCAAAAGTCGTACGATCTACACTGCGCTTGCGCTAACGAAAATACGGCAAATCAATTACCGCATTTCGTCCAGGTGCTTTTCGTTAATTACGGCTAAATTAATCTTGCAATCATCGGGGCAGGATGGGGCTGTCGTACAAAAATCGTACGACTATTCGATCATCGGACGAAAAGTTTCGTCCGATAATCGTAAGGTGTATGGGCACCTTAACAGATGATAGCCAGGCCCCAGCAATCCTCAACAGGTAATACCCAGCCCTCACCAATCTTTAATAGATGCCACCCAGGCCTCACCATTCTTAGGTCCTTGCCTGTCACTCACAGACTACATCCAGGCCTGAGCAGTCTCTGACAGATAACACCTGAGCCTTGCCAGTCTCTGACAGTAACACTCAATCCTTTCCTTTCTCTAAAAAAGACACAATGAGAGTGAGACATTAATTGCCTTGCGCTACACATGCCGCCCTCTGGCAACTGATCTGGCAAATCGCTGCAGTAATAAAGAGCCGGCCAGTTGGTGGCACATAAGCCATGGATTAAACTGACAGTGGGTAGCAGTCAATGAGCTGAGTGGCAGAAAGCCAGGCTAGCAGACCAGCCCACATTATTCATCCACTACAGTACAGCAGTTGGTCATTATAAGCTACTGGTCTAGGCAGTGGGTCTTAACCCACTAAAGAAATGCACCTGACGCTTTTTTTAGGTGTTTTGGTTCTCTGCTGTGTGAGTGCTTTGCCTGCTACTGTAAAAGTGAGTTGGGGGTGTCATTTAAAATTTGTCACTGCAATGCACTGCAGATTGCATGCTTTGGCAGTGTGCGGTAAAGTGCATGTTTTACAACACATTAAAACATTGTGAAAATAAATAAATGGGTCCTAACTGACCTGCCAGGACTGATAAAAAAAAGAAGCAGTAGCAGTTTGTCATCGGATCCCAGCCTTGAGGAATAATAATGACTGGTTGATTGACTGACAAATCGTGCGTTTTCTTGTTTTCTATCTAATTGATCCATTACTAACACTGGCAGAAAGATGTCCTTTGTTCTGTTGTCTGTCTGCTAGGGTTTGAGAGCTTATCATATGTCTACTGTAATCAAAGGTTCAGTTATGATTATGTTGATATGAAAAAATACCAGCATGTTTCCACACTTATAGCTGCTTACATGTGAAATGATCCTGCTAATACAATTGCTCCTTTCTGGCAGCTTAAGTTGCCTTTTAGGTCTTGTGCACACTTTGAATAAAGTGCAGGTTTGTGTAGAAAACTATGACAAATGATAGTATAAATTGGGTTTGATAGAACACATATGAATAGCCAAGGCTGATGATTGGGTCATAGCAAAAATGAGGTACGTGTAAATTTATGGCAGTGATGCGGAGGAAGAGGGTGATGGGCTTATTTTATTGGGAGTTCTAAGATTGAAGTGCGGCTTAACTCCCCATGCAGATCCTAGGACAGCTACAAGTGACTAATACCAGACCACCGTGAATGAGACCATTTACTGCTTATACTGAGATCACTGGCTGATGTAGAAAATCCAATCTGCCTTGTGTATTATGTACAGTTTAAATTGAGGATAGGTTAAAGCTTTACTTCAGGATAAGTAAATATTATATATATACAAGAGATGTGTATTCTTACTTATATCTTGATAAGCTTTGTGTATTTCTTAAAGAAGAACTAGTAAACTTAACTTTTAACTCTTAACCCTTTCAATGGGGCAACCCCCACACTGCAAGGGTTACGTGCTTGTTTTGGTCTAGGTGCGAAAATAAAAAAGTTATACTCCCCTGATCCTCGGAGTTGACTGGCTGTTAGACCGGTCCTTCCAGCCTCTCTCCCCCTCCGCTCTACAGTGGTGGTGATACTACTATTTTTACAAGGTAATATATTGATTTGCAAAGGCATTTGGTGCACACAAAGTGGATTTATATCCTATGTGGCTACAGAAAAATATATTTCAAGGAAAGTTTTTGTGCCTGGAGTTCAACTTTAAGGGAAATGGATAACTAAATGGGGACAGGGACAAAACACATTTGAAATTGGGGCAGAAACAGCCTGTTGGCCCTGTCCACTCGCGCACCGCAATGCCTGTTTACATACAAGCAATGGATCGCTTGTATAAGGTGCCGATCATGCGCCCCCCACGTCAGCTGGTCCCCGTGGGGCGAAGGGTACACAATTTCCCTCCGATCCCCTCTCCGGTGTCAGAATGCGGAAGTGATGTATATTACATCACTTCCGCATTCTTGTGTCACTCTCTAGGTTCAAAAGCTGGAGAGAAGCTGATGAAGCAGATCTGTGCTTCATCAGCTTCTTTGGGGGTCCCAAGGTGACATTAGGGGTCTTGGAGACCCCTGATGTCTCCATAAAGAGGACATGTCACATCTCTTTGCTATCACATAGAGGGCTTCTTAGCCCCCTATGTGATAACAATAACGTTAAGTGGAAAAAAAATAGGAAAATAACATTAAAGTTGCAAAAAAAAAAATCGCACATGAAAAAGTATTAAAAAAAAACACAATTTTTTTTAAAGTCCCCACCCCAGGTGCAAAATGCTTCGGGTGCGCATACGTGCGAAAATGACGATTGTGCCCATTACACCGCACATGTTACATATCACCGCAAACGTTGCAGTGAGAGCAATAATTTTAGGCCCATCAATCACTGGTAACACTAAAATGATGAGCAGTAAAAGGATTTAAAGCGTCGCCTATGGCCAATTTTGGGTATGATAGTTTTTTGCGATTTTGCGGGTGCACACAATTTTAAGGCTTGACATGCTTGATGTCTATTTACCAGATGTGACCCCATCTTTTATATTTTACCAAAAAAATGGGTAATAATAAACAACAAAAATAAATTTCAGTAATTTTTCCTTAATATAGTAAAAAATAAAAATCCCAGTGGTGATTAAATACCACCAAAAGAAATCTCTATCTGTCCCCCCAAAAAAGGTATAACATTCCTTTTCAGTAGAGCATTGCATACCAGAATAAATGTCAGTCAAAGTACAGCAGCGTTGAATACTGAAAAATGACCTGGCCAGGAAGGGGGTGTAATCACCGGGTCAGCAAGTGGTTAATGTGTATCATCAAAAAATAATTTTACCTGACTGTTTGATTATATGCTTCCTTTATAGTGAAGCTTGGCACCAATTGATTCTAGCTTAGCGCAGAGTAGGGAAAGGTTGCAACATATTGGGTTTATTGCTGTCTGTGTCCCAGTTGAAGAAATTTCACAGCGAGGATGGGAACTTGACTTGTGTTGTCAGTTAGAAATGGCCTGTGCAGTGCCAGTCATAAGATGCACATAGATATATGAAGACATTCCCCAGTCCAAAGAAATGGACAATGATCAGTTTTAAGGTAAGAATGGAAAGTTCATACAGTGAAATTTGGTTAGTTTGTGCAGCTTCATAATCATGAAAAGAACAGCACAGAATGACAAAGTGACAGTTCTTGTGGCTAAGATCCCAGAAAAAATTGTGTAACCTATTACATAAGCCTATACTGTTCCTCATATTTAGTTGATTCAATGCTCGCAGTCCCCGAATAAACATGCACACTAGACATGTGCATTCAGATTTGGATGGACCAGCAAATCAACGAAATTCAGTTGATTCGGCCGGTTGGTCCAAATCCAAAATAAAGAATTTATTATATGCACGTATATACGAAAACTATATTCAAGCATGCGCTCCGCCACCAATATGGAGTTCTGCAGTTTCAATGTGCGGTTCCAGATTCTGAGGTTTGTTGCCTTAGAATCCGAAACAGCACAAAAATGTGTTTTCATTTGACGAAACTAATCAAAAACGTTTTTAGTTTTCATTTTGTTTCGTCAAAAACCAATTTCCTTTCCATTCCATTCACATGTCTAATGTACATGTAGGAACTGAACAGCATATAAAACAAGGCATACAAGTGTCCCTCTATATCTGCATGCTCTAAGCTTATCCCTCCCAGCCAAACAAGAGCTGTACTAGCCAAACTGCTCCTGAAGGGATGGAGATGACATTTAAGAAAAACAGGAAAACATTTGAACCCCTAGGAACCTTAAGAGGAGCCTTGATGATACAAAGACAGCTTCAAGAGAAAGGTAAAGGGCAGAAGTATATGTTTGCAACCATGCTTGCTGTGCCTTGTTATAGTAAAGGAGCCGACTTGTCTTCAAGGTGCACTTATTCTTTAATAAGGAATTCTGGCTAAATATGAATAACACACCAGAGGCCTCACCTGTATCCCCGGAACCATTGATAACTGGACTCCTTAATCTCCCTCTGTGGGACCTATGACCTGTGAGTCTATGAAAGTCACTACTGGGTTACCACTTGTGAGATATCACACTAATGTTTCAGCAAATGTGTGGGTTTTGCTCTACCTATTCACCCAACCAATTGTTTAAACCCCATAATGGGTAGCAGAGCGGCTCATTTAAAGTATTATTACATGAAAACCCAAAACATGCAGTAAACAAAATCTTTAGTGATCAATAGGGACAAGGTGCATTGAATGAATTATTGATTAAAAAAAGGTAAACCAATTGAATTTAAACTATATCTGAATGCACATTAGCATGTTAATTGGCTGTAAATCTAAACCTTAGGTGAATGACATTTTGTTTGCTAAAGCAAGTTTTCCTTTTTGCATCTCAGTGTTGTTGATCTCCTGCAGCCTGTTTCAGTCACTTTCTGTCTACATGGCAGTGTAAGTGAGTTAGTACGCTGCTTGTAGTCTCCATTTTGGGACACGTGTGACAGGCTTTCTAACCCTCCTGTATTGCAGTGGCATCACAAGAAGGTTGCGGCCCGCACCCGGGTGACACCAAAATGACTGACAGTCATTTTGGTGTCACCCCCTCTAAAAAGTCGGGCACTCGGTCATGGACCGAGAGCTCAACAGTGTCAGAAGAGAGGAGGGGACCTGACGGCATACCTCATCCCGCCGGGTAAACGTCCCCCCCTCTCTCTGCCGGCGTCCATCACCAAGATGGCAGGCGTCAATCAGTTGAGTGTGTCCCAAAGACATTCGATTCAGGGGCGTAACTACAGACCATGGGGCCCCATAGCAAAATTTGAATAGGGCCCCATGGCAAACCCTTTAAAAATCTAAATCAAGGACAGGTAGCAGGAGAACTGTCTGCATAGTTTCTTCCTGTACATCCTGATATCAACTCTTCTTGATTGCAAATGCCATAAAGGGTAGAGGGTCAGCAGCAACGTCGGCAATCCTTCATGGGGCCCCCTTCCACCCCCCAATAGCAGCCGCATGGGCTGCTATGACTAGTGTTACACCCGTGAGTCGATTGCTGCATGAGCTGGTTGCGGACTGTATAAAATATGTATAAAATAGCTGTTGTGCGAGCACTGGATACAATAGTATATGTGATTTGGTTTGATCTCTAGTCTCAAGTTGCAGCTCCCCATCATACAGAGTATGCCATGGGTCCCTGGAGAAATCCAAAGAAAGTGTGAAAGATGACAACATCACAAATAAATGACTAGTCCAGTATAGATTTATTTAGCTCAATAAAAGGTTAATACATAATAATTATTAAAGGAGAACTATGGGGTTCTATCTTTTCTTTATTAATGCATTCCTTAGGCTAAATAAGTAAATTATGTAATTTACTCTAATTAGCCAAAATGCACAGTAAGACTGTAAACCCTTATTTAAGGTGGTGGGCGGGGCTAAGCGCCGCAATGAGGAGACATCCCGACGTATCTGACGGGATCCTCCCCACTGATCTTCCTCACTGTGACTGACAGTGATTCTTGAGAGCTGTTGCGCGTCCACGAATATATGGACATGCGCAGCAGCTTTGTGCACGCAGCTCTCTCCTTACCTGCACGTCCCCGTCTTTCCCCTCTGTCATCAGCGATCCACAGTCATTTATGTATGTCAGTGTCACACAGGGCAGGGAGAGAGAGAGAGAGGGGAAGAAGCCCTTTCTCTCCATCATTTACCACATATGGGCAAGTCCATATATGATGAATGATGTCACTGGGGATCCCTGCTGATCGGATGCTTGCCAGTCTGCAGGGATACCCAGTGACATAATTCACCATATATGGACTTGCCCATTTCTAGTAAATGATGGAGAGAGGGATGGCTCTTTATCCCCTCTCTCTCTCCCCCTGTATTATGCTGACATCCTAATTACTGGGGATCGCTGATGAGAGAGGGGAAAGTGCACTGAATGTGCAGGGAGGCTGAGTCAGTTTACTTGCTGCTGCCTTCTCACGTCAGACTCCGCCTCCCGCTCACAAATGCCAGCGTGCACGCGCTGACAAAACAGAGCTGTGTACAATGAGAGGAAGCGCGGCCACAGCAATGAGATCAGTTGAAAAAAAAGCCGTGGGCGGACTGGATCAACTGTTAACACCCCCTAAGAGGAAAGGAGCTTGGAGCAGGGCTGAAGACAGCGTTTACTACAGGTTTTGAGGGTTTTATCTGTGATGTGCTGCGACTTTAGAAAAAAGGAACGATGCTACTACAATCAAGGTAAGGTCTATTTTTATTTGCCCTTATGTCATAATTCTCCTTTAACTTTGCATCAAGATTCAAAATTCTGTACTGGACCAACTATTTACTTACGTAATTCTCATCCTTCACAGTTTCTTTGGATCTTATATGTATGGACATCTTTCACTTTAATTT